AAGATCTTTTGCATTTCCCTTCTGTATGCTGCATGAAGTACGATGTGTCTCCTTTGTTGTATCTGCAATTAAAGTGTCTGTATCTAAAAAAACAACAAAAAAAAAACAAAACCAAAGAACAACAACATAGGCTAAGCTTACTACGCTGCAGTTTTCTGTGTGATGCTGCGTTCCTGCACATACTTAAATTTACAGATTGCAAAACGTTTGTTAGCTTTATCTTACCTGCTTTTTCCTTTTCTTTGCTATTGCTATCTAGGGACCATACTGAGTGTCCTGTGTCTGCCTGTTCGTGTAAGTGTATGCAGCTGGATACAACAGGGAATCTTATCCCAGCAGAGACTGTTCAGGTGTAAATATTCCTTGAAAATGTGAGGATCTCTAATGGATGTCCATTCTAGTCCAAGCATACATTTTAGACAGAGGTCGTTTGTTACTTAATGACTGTGAAAAAATAAATTGCTATCAGATGAGTAAAATGATGTGTGTATGACTGTGCATGGTAGAAACTGATAATGGAAATAAGCCTCTGGATTTATCACATGGGCCTCAGCCAGTAGATTTAAGCAGTTAAGGGGCCGGGAGGCTTTGTTGAAATTCAAAGAATTTTAACAACTTGTTCAGGGTAATGTTTTTGGGCCCTTTTATCAGTTTATCAGTTTTTCCAAATAAAGCAGTGTTTATCTGTTGTGCTCAGTGAAAGTAAACCTTCAAAGCAAATGGCGAAAAAGCGTTCTTCAGAGGATGGCAGAACGATGCTGTGGTGCCCTTTCACTGATTGATCACACTTCATTGAATGCAATCGCTTCCTTGTAAGTCAATTAAGAATGTCACTGCTAATTATATTCTAAATAATTTTATTTTACAGGAAAACCTATTTCTTTCTTTTCTCAACTTTTGTTAACAGTAAAGCAATACCTTTGCAATTTGAGAGCTTATTTCACGTGCTGATGTGAATTATAATGCTAAAGAGTCTGGGGAGATTATCCTAGACAAGAGTTCCCTGAAAACTCACGTGTCAGTTTCACTGCAGAGTGCAGACAAATTATTAGAAGTTTGATACGACTGTTTTATTTTTAACATAATACTGTGAAGATCTGAAATCTCAAGACTGGAGACTTGTAAACATTTCAGGTTTAAACTACATACTGAGTTTTGTCTACAAGCATTTTGAATTTTTGGGACTTTCGGATAATCAGGATTTTTTGGCACTTCTGAAATAGACTGGGAAGCGTGAAGTGAACCTATTTAAATCCTGCTTCAGGTCACTGCTGGACACCAGTGTGCCCCTAAAGACTGCACGATTTTATGTCATTGACTGCAAGTGGTAAAAAAAAAAAACATATATGTATGTTACCAGCTGGAATTAAGTATATTTATTAACTTGAGAGTCAATGATATTTTGCTAAAACTGTGCTAGGAGCTAATCAGTATTGTTGTCCTTGATTTTGTAGGCAACAAAATTCATATTAGGGGGGAAAAAACACCTGTTTTAAGGTATGTGAAAATAACATCAGTTTACTTGGTGTGTGTTTATTTACTATTTACTATTAGAAACAGTGTATGAGTTACTTATTACTTGCGTGCTTTGAAATACTAAATGGAATGCTAGCAATAAACTGGCACCATATTGCCAGGACTGTGACATTTGTTGTTTTAAGAAAGAATATATTGTAACATACCACGGGTTCTAAGTGCTCTAATGTAGTTGCAACAAGATAGAAAGTAGAAATGGTGTCTGTGGGTGTACATGACTGCATTTGGAACTTCCAGTCATATTTTCTGATTAATGCTGTACTAGGTCTGCTATACCTACTCTGATCTAAAATTCTTGCCTAATTGACAAAGATATACAGTTAAAATCTAAGAGGTACTTAATACCTGTAGTCAGACTATCATGGAGGAGTGGTTAATGTTTTTTTTTTTCTTGTTGGAATATTTATTTCTAGTATTTTTGCACACTTTGTTTCTGTTGAAGTGGTCTTTAAAATGTTCTCCATTAATAAATGAAAGCTGGGGTTTGATGTATGATACCCTATTTATATGAACACGGGCAATAACACTTTTGCTTTACGGAAGTGAGGATTTGTAAGTGCAAAGGATATATTTTTATTCCTCTCTAGTACCATTGATCAGTAAATTTTCATGATAAATACCATGTCCAGGAACCTAACTGCTTAAAAATGTCTCTTTTTTTAGTGTAAAAAAGAAGGCTCAACTTTTTTTGACTTGACTATACCTGTTTGTTTCAGTTTCTATCATTTCATTAAATAAGTTGCCTACTTTGATGTTCAGCATGTCTTTGAAATGTTTTAGGTTATTAATATGTACATATTCTGGTCCAGTGTAAGTACCAACTTTTGCTGTTGTAATTGGTGTTTGAGCTTTCAGACCAATAATTACACTATTCCTAAAAACTTATAAGAGGTGTACTTAATCATCTTTGTGCTTGTTTTGTTTCTTAATTAGTAAAGCTGTGATTTGGCGAGTTGATTTGTAAGTATGGCTGCAGACATTTCATTATCTACAGATAACATTCACACTTACTATTTGCTATCTTCTTGACTCTGTTATTTAAATAGTTGAAGGTGACTTTGCATGCCAGAACGCCTTTTTGAACTTATGGTTCATGCTGACTACATTATTTTCATTTCATAGTATGTGATTAAGTGCAAGCGCTTTCTCATCTTATGCATTAGAGGCTTGCAAATGAGCACAAACTGACTTGAGTTTGTTATGGTCTCTGTCACTACAAGGGTCACAGTCCTGTGCTGCTTGAGCAAGGAGAGCCGAGCAAGCCTGGTGACAGAGATTAACATCATCCAAGTGTCCAGCACTCCTCGGACAAGTCACAGTGATGAGGCAGGACTGAGGTCAGGCTGGCATTCACATCAGCGGGTTGGGGTCACTGAGAGGCACAGGCAGTCCAGGTGGTGTAGCTCAGGCCAGGACTGTGGGCTAAGGACCATGAGGCGAAGAGGGAGACACCTCTGACAAGGCTTGGATATAAAGAAAAAGAAATGATTAGAGTGGTGAGGTACGGGAGATGTTGCCCAGATGTTGAGAGGTGGTGGATGCTCCATCCCTGGAGTCATTCAGGGTCAGGCTGGATGGGGTCCTGAGCAATCTAACTGAGCTGTGCCATGTTCCTGGAGTTGGGCTCGCTGACTTTTAAGGGCCCCTTTGAACTCAAACAATTCCATGGTTCACTTCACTTTTCCCTGTACCCAAAGGGAGCCTAGGGTGGGAGCTGCTCAACCCCACTACTCTGCATTTCCAACAGCTCTCTTCTCCAATTTGTGCTTCCCAGTGCACTCAGCAGGCATCCCTTCTATACTCAAATCCATTTTTTCCAATTATGCCTACTCAGACTAGGATCCTGCCAACTACACGAGATGTTCCAGGAGAAAAAGGCAGTGGGATAGTATAGTACCCCTGGGCTGAAGTTAGGAAGAATACTTCTTAGCCACAGCAGGGAAAAACATGCCCCAGTTTCACTGACCTGATATTTTCCCTTGGTGTTTATGGTGTGGTTGCTCTTGCGATTCCCCTTGTGATTCCCCTTTCATGAGTTACCCACTAAGCCAGCGTTTCCCTTTATTGTTTCTAAGCCCTGGCAGTTTCTCGTACATTTACTGAGTTAGTGAAATTCTGAAGGGGGGGGGAAGCAATGCAGTCCCCATGGTTATTTTTTTGATATGTGAAATGTCTTGCACTTTCTTTAGTTGTTGCCCTCCTAAATACATACAGAGCCTGAGCATTACTTTTCCTTTCATAGCAAGAATATGTTACAGTTCCTTATTAGTATAAGCCACACAGTCAGTTTGATACTGCTTCTGCTGTGTATCATTGCTCTGGGATAGAGGTCTTGACAGACAAGGGAAAACTAGCATTTACCACTTAGATGTGATCAAATATTTACACACAGGTTCCCATATCCAAGGATGGTCTGTCGGCGTAAAGTGCTATAGCCATCTAGTGGTGGAATCCGTTTTATTGGGCTTAGATAACCTTGTAAAGAACTATTTGCATGTAATGTTTTACAATATATATACACGCACAAAATAGATTTTTTTTCTAAGGTAGAATAATCCTAGAGAGTTAAATGCCAGTAAAACAAGCATGTAGTTGTTAGCAATGACATTTAATTTTGCTGAATGCTAAAATACAGTAGTAATGGTACCATAAAGCAGAGTATGGTGTCATGCCAGAGGGACCTTCTTGTTCAGGTTTACAGTACGAGACTGACTCATACTTCTCAGGTCCTTCTCCCTCACCTCCTGTCACTGTCCAACTTCTAAGCAGAGAGGGAAGAAAACAAAGCACCTGATTAACCTGATCAGCCACTCAGCTGGAAGAACTAATGCACTTATGATTTGTAACAATCAGAGTAGTGCTGCAGTTTGTAGTAAGTTTGATAAATGAGGCCTCTTTAAAAACGGATTCTTTGACTAAAAATGGAGACATTCATAAATAAGCACAGTGCTAGCGATCTTAATAAGGTTTTAATCCAGCTATAAAAACTGCAGCTAGAAAAGGCTAGTGAATATGGAACCACACAAAAGTTTACTTAAAATGCTTTCTAACTATTTTATTAAATCACAGAAAATTTTTAAGAAGTTAGATTTAACTGTGTTACGTGGAGAGGTAAGAATTCTGCCAGGTGATATTAAATAGCCTGGATTGTAATAGAATAAAATTCCCCCTGGACTGTGGGGAAGTTTGTCTGAGTAAAATCATCAAGACATCTTAGCAGAGTCCTGGTACTTCTGCCTTGACATCCACCAAGAATGATGTTTGTGATGGGGATTTCAAGTGTGATTGAGTTACAAGCCTAATCAGACACTTAAATGTCTCTAATGTTTAACAGCAGTGCAGAAGGTAAGTACCTTGTGCTCCACATTGTCAAAATTAAATTACTTGTGTTAGGTAAAATGGAATAGGAATCACCATGTATCATTGGAAATAGCACTAGGTAGATATAATACTACCACAAGCAGTTGTACGTAGTCATATGTTTATTGGAGAAGTGACCATTATCAAGATGCAAAATAAATCTTCCCCCCCACATTCAACAAATTTATATCAAAGCAAAAGATATTTTGAGATATCTTTACATTAATACCCTACCAAACATCTTCAGTATGAGTTTTGTGTTAAGTATCCTGGGACCTCCGTGGACAATGGAAAAGACACCTACAAAATGTCCATTTCTAGCAAGTCAAATCCTGCAAGAGAGCATTCCTCATGAATGCAGAAGGATTAAATATATACAGTCAGTAAGACAGCCACAGAAATGTTCTGCTTCTCACTAAGCTCATGCAAAGAAAAGTTTCTAAGAAAATTTATTTCATTGGCCACACATGGCACGTGTAATAGCATCTTCTTAGTATATTTGCTGGAAACTAATGCAAGTCTTACCATGCTGTCAGGTAAGACAGCCAAGGTAATGTTGCACACCTGAAGCTCTAAAAAGAATTAATTGTTCCTCCCAGTACCAAAGGGGAAGTATTCAGGGAATTCGTGAATAATTTTCAGTGCTTCATTGTAGAGTTCCAGATCTGAAAGAGGGCAAAAAAAGAAAAAAGTTTAAATTCCCCACTAGCAAATTGCAGCATTAAAGCACTGCCAATTTTAAAGCAATAGAGTTGAGTGCTCTCCCTCCCCTACATGCTCTCCAGTTTTCCAACCCTGCCATAGTCTCATTGCTTTCTTTTTGAGGGATTATTTTTAGGCCTGCTAACAACTGGACATCACACAAGGTCCAACACAGGAGAGGGAAGACAAAGAACTGTTTAGCTGGGACTGGGGAAACAATCAGGCCTGGGGCAATGGCCTAGGTCAGCTCAGGCCTTGAATCAGTCCCTACAGTCTGGCAGTAAAATAATGTATTCAGCACGTACTATTTTCTAATGCCATTGTCTGTTTATATATTTTCCACACCATATTAGGCAGCTTGAAGAATGATCCTCTCCACAGGAAGGGATAATTATGCTCTCCTTATTTACTGAATAAATGTTCAGAATACAAAATTAATTTGCTCTAACATATCCTTACTTACCAAATGGACTTTTATCTTCCCTGAACTGGACGTATGACATGCACATGATGGTTGCCTGATTTGTTACTCTTCCCACCACTTCAAGAATTCCTGAGATCTCTTCATCTAGCTGCAGAATGTACCAGAAATGAAATTAGCATCACCAAATTAGCTGATATTTCCACTGCACAGCACTCAAACCAGGAATTCTCTAAAGGTTTGTTCATTACAACAGATTCTGTTCTGTGTCAAGTCATACATGAGTACTGGTGGGGAGAGGGGAGGATTAAGAGACAACAGGAAAAAAAAAAACAACCAAAAGCTTTGCACCTCTTACAGATTTACAGTTTTTGTAAAGGCACTTCAGTACTACACAGAAAAGGTATGAAGCAGCAGCAGAGGGAAGACTGAACTTTGAGGGTGTATGAAACTATGCTGTCTAAACACTGAAGACTGGTCTAGGGCAACAGAGACAATTAAAATCCAGATTTGAATGAGCTGCATTCAAAACTTTGCGGATTGTAAGACTATGAAAGCTAAGGGATTATCATTTGTGCTAGAAAGCAGTGCCAGTAATTCTAGATTAAGGAGGATTTAGATTATCATCCAAAATTATTTCTTAGGTAATAAACCTTTGGTTGAGAAGAAAAAACAGTAAGGCTAAAAATTTAATCTCACCCTAAAATCATTTGTTTTCTTTTCCTCTTTGATTTTAGTATATTCATTTGAGGACTGCAGTACTATTTCAGTAATACCCTTCCAGTATCTTGTCTTGTGTGATCTTTCTAAACACACCCGTTTCTTCCTTACACAGCACTGCAGCACAGACTGAAATGCCCAGCATCCAGCTGTGCATTTATGACATTCACCCATTTACTCTATCATGGAAAGTCAGAGAATCATTGGTGAGATGCTGACAGCCTAAGTTGCAACAGCTCAACACAGGAAACCTTTTCAGGAGCTCAAGTGAGAGTTAAGATACAGGGCAGTACCTGCAGGAAAGACATTTTCTTGCAGTTTGGAGATGAACACAGTTTCATATTTATAAGACCAAACTCTTCTCCAGATTGGATTTTACACGAATGAGACTCAATTCTTGTAAGTCAGAGTATCGGTGCAATTATTTTACAGCAATGGAGTCAGACTTGCCTGTATATTTAACAACTCATTCAGAGGAAAAGATGGAAACACTGCTGCCACCCTCAGTTAAACTATAGTGTTTGTCATCAGGAGGTGTCACAACTACAGTAATCCTTTAATTACAACATACCTCAGAGGTTAAAAAAAAAAAATAGAGAAAATGCCTGGGAGTTACTCCTTTACTGGTACTTGGTCACAAAGGAAACAGTATTGCTGCACATGAAATATCCATTTAAGGGACTCTTAAAAACAAGATATTCTCGAGGTTTGTTTTCGATCAATCTCACAAAGCGTAGGATGGTTAGCATGGTGACACACTGGAACAGCAGCCAAAAATTCCCAACAACGCAGCCGCTTACTTACAGGTTCGCTCAGCTCCACCGTCGCGTTGCAGCCTTCTCCGTCCGACAGAACTATAAGTTTCCCCGTCGGGTGAATCTACAAAACAAACGACGCCGTGCGCTCAGCGGCGGCAGAAAGACGAGCGAGCGGACAGACGGCCCTCGGCCCGCATGGAGGCTGCAGCCGGCCCGGGCGAGGCCGCACTCGGCGGCGGAGGGGCAGCGGCGCTTCCGGAGAGCCTCCCGGGGAGAAGCGGGGGAAGGGCTGCGTACGGACCTTCTCGACGCGCCCCACGAAGCAGACGGGCCGCCCGATGTGCTGCGCCAGCTGCGCGGCGGCGATGCGCGGCCGCGGCGCCTCGTGCACGTCCCCCATGGCGCCGGCCTCCTTCCCGCGCTGCGCCGGAGTCGTCCCCTGTCATCCTTGGCAACGGGACGGCGGCGGGGCGGGGCTTTATCGCCGCCAGCCAATCGGCTTGGCGTTTTGCTATGACGTCATGGGAGCGCGCCGCTGCCGTCTCCTGAAGCCGGAGGGGAGGGAGGCGGTGTCGCCTCACGGAGCCGGAAGCGACGAGCAGCGGCGGCGGGCTGGTGGGTGACTGAGGGCTGAGGCGGGGGAGGCGGCGGGGAGGCCGGCGGGAAGAGGGCTGAGCCCTGGGAAAGGCGGTAGGGAAGCTCTGGGGCTGTTCGTCCTCCCGCTGGCCTGCTCGCCGCGGCCCGAGCCCTTGCAGTTCTTGGCGATGGCAGCCTGACCCCTTTCCCGCTCCCCTGCCGGCAGCCCTCCGCTCGCTTTGCAGGGAGCGCGCACGCCGCGTGCCCGCTGCCTGCCCGAGCGCTGCGCAATCACACCGCTTCTCCTTGCCCCGGGGAACCGCGGTTCTGCGTGCTGCGCAGCACCGTCTGGCTGACTGAACGACTGACGCGAGGCAGAGTTGGCGCCAGGCTCCCTCTGTGCCCGCTGCCGTGTCGGGCTGTGCTCTGTGAATGTCTCCAGTGTATAGAACGTCTTTCTAATTTCCTTTCCCAAAGCGCTGTCCTCAGCGCTGTCATTTCCTCAGGGTCGCTCTGCTGCTCGCCTCGCGGCGGTTAATTTGCCAGAGATCCTTGTCACGTCAGCATCTCTTCAAAGCTGTGAAGGAGACGTCTCACGAAGGTAGCGCAAGGTGCAACAGCGCTGCTCCTGGGGCTGTCGTGTCTGGTTGGAGCACCAGTATGATTCTGTGCACTATTGTCAATAGCATTACATCTCTGTTGCCCTCAGTTGCCAATGGAGGTTTGCTGTTAGAGTTTGCAGGGAAAGAAGTTAACTTTCAGGCAGTTAGGCATTGCATCTGGTGAAAGTCTGGCTTTCTGTCTTATCTGCTGCTTTCTTGAGCGTTGCCAGCAGTTTGGCTATGCCTGGTTCACCCCTGGCTTTCTGTTTGTCACCTTAATCGTGGTGGTTGTTTGTGATTCCACATCCTGGTGTATTTTTGTATGAAGGTAGCTGAGGTTGCGTTGGCACTGAGTAATTCAGGTCCTCTGTTAGAACAGTATCAATATATATTTACATATTTATATATGTATATTTATGTCTTTTTTTAGCATGTTAGCAAATGTGTGTCCCATTTCTGTATTTGTGTTTCTCTTGACACCTATCTTCATCAAATCCATAAACTAAAGGAATGTGACTAGAGTTAGTGGCAGATAAAGAAATGATTTATCATGGGTTTTCTTTCTTCTTCTCTTGTGCAAACCTTTATTAGGCCAGAAGCTTTTAAATTCTTTTGATGTCACAGGGAAATCTTTTTAACATGTGCGTTCTTGACTCCGAATTAGTTGGTTTCATGTTATAATTGAGCTGTACAGGGCTGTGAACACATTACTCATTTTCTTGCTGGTTTAGTAGTCTATCACAGCAAATGCTCATATAGATGAGAGAACTGCTCTGATGCCACCTCGTTTTCTCTTTCTGTGGGTTCTACAGCTTAGACAACTGGCTTTGAAATTATTCTGGTTCTTTCTTTAAAATCAGTCTTTGTATCTTTTCTGACCTCACTTCATCATCTATCTAAGCACCAGTATTTTCATCACAGTTCTGCTTTGCTGTATTCCCAAGCGTCTTTTTTTTTTTTTTTTTAATCATTAATTTACCTTTCATCTCGTGTTACTTGTGAACATGCAGGAAAATGGTAAAAAGTAGTGCTAAATAGGTTAGGATCCTTAGATATACAAAAATCCTATTGGATGTAATATATTGGTTTGGCTCAAAGGTCTCCCATACCTCTTGTCAAAGCAGACTGACAAAGTGTACCAGGCATACATTAATCCCTGTGTGCAGCTCTGCAACTCATCATTGCCCAGAGCCGTGTCTGTTCTCAGAGCCTCACATAAAGACAAAATATTTCTTACAGTCTCACAGAATTGCTGTACTTCACAGTTTGTTACTTGCTAATGACTGAAGCAATGCCAAAAGAGTTATTTTTTCAACTACCAACAATGAGACTGGAGAAAGGAAAAATTATGTCCCTTTTTCTCTGTTGAGGGGGAAACATGAGGAGAAGGGAACTGCATATTCCCTCCAAGGGAAATTTTTATCTCTAGTCAGTGAATTCAATTTTCAGGTCTCCTATAGAAATAAAATTAAACCCATCTGGAAAGAGGAAAGTGGTGTGCTACATTGGAGGCATTACTGCAAGGAATGTGGCACTCTCTGAATAGTGGGTGTGTTGTCTCTGATTTTGTGCTGACAGCTTTTTAAAAGCAAAGATGTCATGTGTTTTTCTCTCTAGTTCATATGACCATACATCCAAATTTCCAAACATTGAAGGTGATTTTTTTACTCTGAAATTAAATTTGTGCCAAAATTGGTTGTTCTCAGCTTTTGTGTAATAAAGCCTCATCTTATCTACGAGTAGTAAGACTCAGCCTGACTCTGCAAGTGCTTAAACAGTGCTCTTATCTTCAAGAGCACGCGTGTGTTTTCATTCAATTCGGTGTTTCTTTGTTCTGTTTTTAACATGTAATTCAGGAAACTTCACGTCTGTGTTTCATATTGCTGGAGAGATTTATGTTCACTTTTGAAGTATCACAGTTGATAAAATTCTGAAGAGAGCAAAGATCACAGCTATCACAGTGCTGCCCATCCTTCTCCTATATATAAGCCTCGCTTTATATGCCTCTGCTTTTTGTCTCTTTTTTTTTTTCTTTTTTTTTTTTGAGCTCTTATTTAAGGTTAACCTTTGTGTTGAGGATAGAGACTGAAAGAAGGGAAGTCGTTGATGCAGACCTGAGGGCATTACAGGTTTACAGGAAACAAAAAATGGGATACTCAGAAAAGGTTTGCCTTCTGTCAGCGACGGGGGAAAAAATCCAGGCTGTGAAAGTGCTTGTAAAGTTAATTTGGCTGTATCAAATTGTACTTACTGCTCATTTTCTCTGAACTGAAATGCCTCCAGTCTTATTTGTTCGTTTGTTTTAAAGCACTGATGTTTATGTGTGCAGGAATTAAAAGCTGATAAGCGCATATTTTCCTGCACAACACTGTTGTGTAGATGTATGCACTTAGTAAGATGCTTTACTTTGTGTGAGTAATAGTGAAAGGAGATCACTGTTTGGAAGAGCTGAAAAATGTAAAATAATGCAGATGTCAGAGAGGAAAAAGAAGGGAACGGAGCAATTGCAGCTCTTGAAGTGGCTGCCTGCAATCGGAGTCTCTACCAGAGCTACCTGTGAGATTTTACACATTGAGTTGATTTCTCTTCTTGTTGTTGTGTGCTTGGGAAGAAGGTAAAATTGCATTTTAAAACTGCTCCACAACTGCCTCTCCTTCATACATCACTGGAGCAGAAACCTGACTCCTGAGCATTGCAGCACAGGTTTTTACCGCTTGAGCTATGGGGCTGACAGCCCTAATTGGTAGCAGGAGAAGACTTATTCCCTAAGGGCTAAAAAAAGGAATATGCTGCTGGCGCCATGTGTTGAGCTTGGGTGTGGGGGAAAGGAGGCAATTAGGGGATTTCTGCTGTGTAACCTCCATGGGACTGGAACACCAGTATTCCACACACTAAGGTAAGGAAATGTGCACAGAAGAATCAAATGCACATAAGTAACATTCATTTTTCGTATGACTGCATATCTGAGGCTGGTTGACTTGGGGAGTTCTTGCATGCATCTGAGTGGTTTATTTGACTGATAGAAATTCCACTGCGTCAGCGTAAGGCAGCTGTAGCTGGCCGGCCTCTGGGCTGCTCTGAGTTTCATTCAGAGGTATCACTCCACGCTTTGAATCACTGCTGGTTTTGACCACATTCTATTTATATTGACCACATTCTATTTATATACCGTTGTTGAAAGCCAATGCTTACACTTCATAAAGGACTCTGTATGCTCTGCTCCATGGAAGGATTTGATATGCTTGTAACAGCAGAGCAGGGGCAGTTCATACGTGGTGAATAGTCAGGGCTGCTTGTGAAGAAAATTACTGCAGGTCACTGAGCAGGGCACAACGAGTCTTGCGTATGGGATCACGAATACTTGGATGGGAAGGGAGGAATTTGGGCAAATAATTAATCCTTTTTTTTTTTAATTTTTAAATATAAAAGCTAGCATTGTAGTTTCCTATAGTTCACTCACGATGATTATTTTTTATTTATATTTAGTTTAAGATAATATTATCTCTAGAGTATACCTCTTTTCTTTAGACTTGACTCTTCCTGGGTGTATATATTAGGATTTATATACTCCTGTCGGATTGTCAGCCCCTTCTCTATCCATATCTTCAAAATAAGTCAGGATTCAGTTCCTCAAACTCTGCTTCGGACTCAAAGTTGCTTTATTTGACTTTGCCAATTTTGTATTGGTATTTCAGTAGAGAAAAGCTTTATGCACCTCTCTTTACCTTTACTTCTATTTGATGCAGCACTTCTTAGCCAGTCCGTTCACATGCTGCTGTGTGGCTCTGCATTGCCCAGGGTGCTGCTTGGGCACTTCTCAGGGAGCTGGAAGTGAGCAGATGTTGGGCTGGTGGCTGCTGGGCAGTGCTGCTTTCCTCTTCCATTGCAACAGCTCTGTAGATGGGAGCTGCTGTTGCTGGAGGAGATGGTGAGAGTTGGTTACTGTGTTTGGTGGTGCATGTTGTGAGGAAAATAGAAAGTGATGCTGTACTGTGATGTAAGTCAAACCTGTAAATGCATACTTCATGTGATTCTGATGTTCAGTTTTTGCTGAAGTGGGACTTGCTAATGAAACTTTTCTTATAACTCTGTGTTCTATTTATTTATTTAAAGGAATGATCCTTCCTTGATTCTACATCTTAAATGTTCAGAATAATTAGGTAATTTATGTAGGATGTCTTTTGGTTTATCCAAATATATGGTGTGCTTCATAGCTGGCCCATCTGGCTGTCTTTTGACTAATGCTTGTGAGGCTTTTCGAGACGAGTTTGTCTTTAAGCTATTAAAATTGCTTCAAATCTTGCTTTCCTGAGATACTGAGCACAATCATTTACGGCTGCCACTATCCCATTACTGTTATGCTTTACCTGTTTTGTTCCAGCTCATGTGAAGTCATAGTTACAGTCTGTTGGGCAGGTTCTTATCATAAGAACGGCTTATTGTTCCGAAGAAGCTGCTTCATTGTATTGTGCTTTCTTTTAGGGGAATATTCCCAAGTATTAAGCTGTATGTAAGGGTATGAACTGGAAAAATGAAAATGGATGCTATGCTATTATTGTATATGTTTTTATTTTTTATCTGTGCTTTTGTAATTGGTGCACAGACACTTAATATAGTGTAATTTGCTTAATTAAAGTACTGCTATGTTATAGAACTACATTTCCTGTAGGATCAGGTTTTGGGCTCTAGGGTTTAAAACCTTGAGAACAAACTCTGGTGGGAAAATTTGTCTAACAACAATTCAAAAACGCAAAAGAATATGGAAAGGTGCTTAATAAATGCTGAAGAGAGTTTACTTCTTTAATTTTCCATTAGGAAGATAAGTTGTTTGTCTGTTTTAAATGGTTTTATTCCATTCTTCACAAAAAACCCTTTAGTAATTTAAACTTTTTGCTTATTGATGTCAATTGCTGTACCAGCAAGGAACTCTGACATGCTAATGCCTGATATTTCAAATCTGGTAATACAAATCTAGCTGTAATACCATGCGTTTGGTATTTGGGGTGGTATGAACTTTTTATGCTAAATTCTGCTGTCTTGTATTTAACGTAAATTGTCTTCATTCTAGATAACAAGCTAGAAGAAGAGAAAAAGAGACTATGTTCAGCTTCTTCCGGAAAGGTCAAGATTCAAAGAAAATTACAGTGCAAGAGAGAGAAGCAGATGGATTTGTTATTGTGGGTAAGTGATGCTTCTGTATATAATGATTCTTGTAATCTTTGAGTGTAAAAAGGTCTTTGAGATGCTTAGACTAAGAGAAAAGAGTTAAAAGAAGCCGTAACAAAAACAACTCAGAATTGTTGCTTTTCCACGAGTAAGCCTACACTATTCCAGACTAAATAGCTAAAGCTTTATTTCTGCACATTATTATTATTATTTTTAATAGGTACAAGCTCTTCTTGAAGATCATGGAAATTCCAATTTCTTATTTTCCCCTCATGTTTTAAACAATGAAACATTATTTCTTTTCAGAACAAGAAACCTCAGAGTTACTAACTTTATGGTTAGAGTTGCAGAGAGAATATCTTGTTACAGCTTCTAACTTCCCTCCTTCTAATGTTATCCCCAAAGTCTTTTTAAACTAGAAGGCAAGAGGTGTCTGTGTATTGCCAGTCACACGGTGAATGTTCTGATTCAGAATATGACTTTTGATTAGTTGGAAAACTAAGCAGTTTGGGATTTTCCAAGTCTTTCTGTTATTCAAAACTTAATCTGAAGTGTACTTGTCTGTGGCCAGGCTAAATCTACACCATTAAGTAAGTTCTGTCACAAGTTCTGTAGGATGGCTCAAGCACACAGGAGAAACAGAATTTATTGCTGTAGTGCTGTAACTGATCCTTTTCTTCTTCCTCTTCTGAAAGTTTGTATTTTTCTCCTTGTAAAACTGTCATCATCAGTGTTCAATTTCTGTTGCTCTGATTAACTGAGTTATATTGAGGAATCTTATAGGAATCTATGTAAGTGGTATATGAGCATTCTGAAGTAAGGAGAGCTGCTGAGTTATCAAAATCTAACAGTGTGAGACTACTAGAGCTCATTCTTAGGATAACTTACTCATGTTCTTAAAACAAATAGCCGCAGCTAGCTGTCAATTGTTAAAATAGATCCAGTTTCACATATGTGACTGTTATGTTGAACAGTTGTCTTCCACTGGATTTTCTTCATATGGACCTGTCTACTCACCTTGGTTTTGATGACTATGTTAAATAATTCCAGCACTTGCATTGTGGAAGGGTTAAAGGAGAGACCACAATCATCTCCCAAAAGATTGGAGACCAGAGTTTCAAATTCTGCAACAGAAAGAGAGCTCTGCATATAAAGGTTGCTCATCTGCAACAACTGTTCACCCCAGTTTTGTACTTAACTTGGCTTCATTCCTTTTTCTTGACATACTGTCAGTGACTACTTAAACTTTATTCCTGTAAATCCGTATTAAAGTAATCTCTTAAACATAAACTGAAGAATTATCAAGTATGCATGAGTCTTCTGTTATTTCTATTTACTATTTCTTTTCTCTTGAATAGCAGTTAATTTTGCAGGCTGTGATGAGATAGCACATAGTCTTTTCATCTGAACTTTTACTTGGCAGAACAATTACTGCCTGTCTTGTCAGTGAAGCATGTCACTGTGCTGCTGGTCAGAAGCAGTTGCAGAGTTATAGGTTAGTACCCAAGTAGATACTTACGTAGAAGTTTTGTCTAGGAATAGTTATTCTCCTAGTTTGTTTTTTATTGCTTGGATGGGAGATACTGAAACTTTTCAAAATGAGATGTAAAGCATTCTGGAACATCAGTACTGAAGTCTTATCTTAGTAGTAATCATAGGAAAGCTGTTCTTATGACTGCATCTTTAAGTTATAAGTGTGAATATTGCCTTAGGCAGTGAACAAACAGTCTTAACTGGGGGTCAGAGCTAAATGTTGTGTGATTCAGTTTGTTTTCTAAACCCAGTCTTTCATTTGAAGCATGTAAGGAAAAAAAGAAAAAAAACAACAGCCTTGTTCACTAATACTCTGTGGAGAAGAGAGGAAGCATTTTGCTTCTCTTTCATGGAGAGAAAAGAGGAAAAAAATGCATCTTTAGAGAATGTTGGCTTCTGATTTCCACAGGAGCTTTTTGTAGTCAGGAGAAGCTTGCCTGTCACAAATCCTTTTCAAGGTTTTTCATACCATGCACCATTAATTGAGGGCCTTCAGGAGCCCTACTAAAAGTCTCAGAGAGACCTATCAAGAAATAATCAAATTACAATTTATTTGCAAAATGAATTCCAGTCTACCATCCATTTTGTTGATTCTTGGTAGCTGTGTGGAAGAAAACACATTAATGCTAGTGTGTTGGTTTTAAACGCAGTTAAAAATCTCTCATCAGTTAACAAAGATGCATGTGATCTGTAGTTGTGATTTCTGTCAAAAATCAGGCATTGAAAAATTGAGGGAGTGCTGTTTTCATGTAATTCTGGTGAGCAAATCAGAAACTCTGCAAACATTATTCTCAGAGATACGGTTTGAGTTCTGGGTGGTCCTGGATGGAGCCCTGGATGTGCTTTTCCAAAACTACTGTTCAACGTTCATTTTGTTTTCAGGTATATTTTAAGATGGTGATGTGCAGGGTCTTGATTATTCTTCCAGCAAAATTTGAAACAAGCCAGGTGTGCAGGAGCAGCAAGGGCAGCTGCACCCCAAGGCAGGTGAACCTGCAGGGGAGGGAAGGTGATGTGAGGGCAGACAGGCCGAGGCAGAGACCTCAGCTCTGAGAGGCACTGTGCTGTGCTGCCTGAGTAAGGAGAGCAGAGCAGGTCTAGTGGCAGTGACCAAGCTCAGCTTTAATGGTCTTAATCAGGAAGTGCTGTGTGATGAAGATATGAAAAAGTCAAATGATCAACACCAGTCAGTCTTTAGTTCTGGAAATCTTGGCTCTGTTTTTCTGAAGAGCAGTTCATGTGTTGTTCCCTCCGCCGTCCATTTCTGTGTTCCATTAATATGTTACACATACAGATATTCTTTGGGGTGCTTTTTGTTGTGTAAGAACTGGATATATTGTCATGAATTAAAGTACACCTAGTTGTTTCCTGACGTGTAAGTACATAAGTAAAATACTGTTTATATGGTAATGTCAATAATGTAGGTCTCTGTATATTTGGAAGAACTTCTGAGATGAATTTGCAGTTTTAAAATCTTCAAGAATTAAGTATGTTTTGAAAAGGAAGCATGATATACTGACCCTTCTGAATCTAAGGACTGCATCCCTACTGCTTGATTAGTGCAATTCACATACCTGTTTGGTTTTTCTCTTGCATGCACGTACCTCAAGGAGGAAATGCACCAAGAGATCTGTAAGACCTTAATGTTGCTGCTGCTGGTTTTTCTGTGACTTCATAGTAATCTGTAGTAGAATCCTGTGAATCTTTACACTGTTTTGCCATTAATATTTAAGGAGCTTCTAGTGGTGCTAGTCACAAAGGCTGGAATGCTGCAGTATTTTAAAATAATATGCTGTTACATTTAAGAAATCCACAAGGCTTAGTGCCCATTGGAGAAAAGAAGGTTTCAGTGTCCTTTTATTTTCTGCATTGGTGGGTTTAAGGGTTTTTGTGTTTTTTTTTTTTTTTTTTTTTGGTTTTTTTTTTTTTTTTTTTTTTTGCATTTAGTGTTTGTGTAGCTATTTCTAACCCTGCTGTTTTCCAATAAGCAAGCTGCCATTTCATTTTCTTGTGAAGGTTTGAAAATATTTAATGTTAACTTTGAGACAATCTGAGGTTTTTGGGGAATTCTAATATATTTCTAAAGAATATATGCATTAGCCTATGCCAATGTAAGTAAATGTTTTAGTGCATGCCATGCTGTATTAATACTGTTGAGGAGCGTGTGTTGATTATATTAAACAACCTGTTTTTCAAATCACTGCTTTCTGCATTCTATATTGAAAAAAAGAGGTGGTAGCTCATCTGGGCACTGAATTTTTCAGTCAGAGTTGACTGAAAAGGGAGTGGGAGAATTCAGAAAGAGAAGAAACAGTCCTCTCCTGTTACTGATCTTTAGTTGCATAAGGAGGTAATGGCTACCCTTCATTCAGTAATGAAGTCAAACTAATTCTCTTGGGTACTGATTTTAAACAAAAACAAACTGCATTTTTCAGTAGTACCACTAGGTGGTGATTTCTCTTGCATCTCGTAGTTGTGCTTTTCTCTTTCTCCTTCATTTGCCCACACACACACAGAAAGTCGAGTAATAGTAATTATCAGTACAACATTTTATTAGACTGTAGGTTTTCATCAGATGTATAAAAAGCTTTTTAAAGCTTAATATCAAATTTATAATGGAATTCCAGTCTAATAAAAATAATGAAGCTTGAAGTGTTGACAGCATGTATCTAGATGTTGGCTTGTAATTCTTTCCAAGCTGATCTGTTGAGGCCCATGTGGGACCTAAATAACACAAAGAAGTAAATTTGCATATTTTACAGCAGGGGGAAAAACAGAATGCAAAAACATGAATAATTAGGAGCACAAGCTTCATGCTATATTAATACTGTTGAAAAGCATGTGTTGATTGTATTCTGAAAGCCAGTAGTGATTTGGTTGAGTGAACTCAGTCAGCATCTCTTATGCAGATTAAAGGAACTGGGTTACAGAACAACTGAAATTCATTGTTGTGCTGTGTAAGGAGGTATATTTCTCAAAGGAAATATATATTTTTTTCTAGATTTTGTGCAGTACTGGCAGTCTTTCCATTTTACTGTTTCATCAAAATGTGGATTTCTTCTGGCAGAGCATTTTTAATTGCTTATTTGCGTTCCTCCAGATTTTCCAATAGTTATCTCAGCCACAAGTCAGACGTTAGAATTTTTAGCACTTCAGTGTATGCGACCTATTTTTCCATTACATTTGTCTTTATGCTTTCTCCGAGCCCCAGAAAACACATTCATGACATGTATTATATTTCATTAAAGTTTAAATTTGCAAAAAAAGTCTTTCTGTAAATGACTTAAATTTACCAAAATGCCCTTTCTTAAATGTTTCTATGCAGGCAAATTTTGAATCATTGTGTTGGCTTCTACTCATTTTAAATGTAGGTTATTCAACCTACTTTTTAATGATAAACATTTATTTAAAACAACATTAAAACAATGCTTTTTTGAAATTGATGGTTAGGGTTCATACTCTCTTGGCCCCAAAAATGCTAA